AAAATTAATGGCGGCCGGTAGTAAAAACGCAAAATTTTCAAACTTCCCGTCGGAATATGAAGAAAAAATTTCTACAGGTGATTAATAGGGTAGTATGGATTATTTGGACGAAGTTTCAAGTTTGTACGAAAAGATAGCATTTTTCGTCCAAGGGGCACTTTAAGGACTAGATTTTATAAACGAAAACAAAGAATTTTCTAGAACAAATTCAAAGCTAATCAAGTTAAAAAATAATTAAATAGGCTTTAAGAAATCTAATTTAAAGTTAAGCTGGACAGCGCTAACATAACTTCAACGCCACTTGATAACCTTTAGCTGCCAGTCTAACCTTGATATCATATTTTCTTACACACCAATGGCTTTAAAACAAACATTCTAAATTTTAATTCGATCTTTGGGCTTTCACTTAGTTTGGAGACTAGCTCTCTCTTGTGATTGTCCCACGCTGTGATACAACAGCGAAAAGCTTTGTAGATTCTTAACCTTTGCTATCCTTCGTGAGCCGAAAAAGTTAACTAATTGTTTAAAAAACCTAATTTAATAAAGAGCAGCTGGACCGCACTTGCATAATATAAATATTTAAATATAATCCTCTAGATTTTCTGATAAATTTTTAAATAGAGTATCTCAACAACATTATTTCGAGTTCACGTTCATCTTAAAGGCATCCATTAGCAAGATTTAGTCGCGTTTCTGCTAATGATACCTGAAAAAAACGAATTCTAAGCTATGATGACAGGAATTCCCAAAAGTTGGTTCTACTCAGTGATATGTGCAGCTTTTTGCTCAAGGATTTCCTTGTCAAGTAAGTAAATTAACCTGCATGCCTCATCATTTGTTTAAAAGACTAGTGCATGATATTGTTGGAGTCAGTGAGATTTTTTGATTAGTTTCGATATCAGTGCTTTTCGTTTCTACAGTCGGTATTTTGTGCATGAATTTTATGAACAAGAAAAGCATTCAGTTTCTCAAGTATCTAACGTTTTTTTTTTTACGAATTGCGAAAAGTTGTTTTTTCGATTCCACTATTTTGTCCCTTCTTTATTTCGAAAAAGAAGTTTATCATCAGTTTACGAGATTTTGAAACTGTTATAACAATCTAGCACAATAGGAAACGTCATTTAAACTGAGTTATGATGTGATCGGATTACCGTACAGAAATACTGTACCAGCAGTTTTTGAAGATAAATCTTCGAGTAAGTGCTGAAAGAATTTTCAAACGATAAAATGCTGGTGAAGCTTTTATGAGGTTTCGAAGAGAAAAAGACGACGAAACCGTGGTTGAAAGTGTTCTTTTTTCTAGAATATTTTACGATTCAAAATGCTTCTTAGCTACAGCTACGTACCATATTTTACACGGTTAAAATACTCGTGAAAACAGATATCTTTTTGAACTAAAAATCCAAAACCGAGAAAGTCCATTTTTCTATCATATTTCTACGAGAATTCCTACTATACTTGAATCTTCTCTTCTAATTTTTGTGACCGAAGGGATACAAACCCATAAGGATTCTTATGAAACACTGGCGCCTTATTGCTAAGATAACTATGATCTAAACGGGATTTTTCCAGATCCACCCATTATGTCTTATCAAAGAGATAAATCGCTAAAACACTTTTCAGTGAGAGCAAATTAAAAATTACCAGTTAATATTTACACGAAAGTTATTCTTTCTAAGAATATTATCGGCTCCGGGTTGGTTCTTTTGAATCTCATTAACTCAACCATCCGAGTCAAAAGATTAGTACTTTGTATACAGTCAATTCAAAAACCGTTGTCGTCGACCATCTCAACCCTACGCGACTGAACCGAAAGGAATTCTAGGCAGCAATCATTGAAGCCGAGTTTTATTCGACTAGTTATGCCTGGTTTACAGCACGAACCTTCGTAGGCGAGCGGGAAGTGTTGAAGGAGACGTTTTTTCAATGCCTTCATATTTTCGAAATTGTGAACTGAATCATAACTACTTCGTTTTTCTTTCACTAAACCCAAAAACATGCATTTGATGGATTGTTTCTCGCCAATATTATCTTTACTACTAGCGGGACAATTAATTCTTACCCATATTTCTTTCGGTCCGGTCAACGACAACGTTTTTTGAATTGACTATCCATAAGAAGCCCCTTGTACTGCATATCTTTTATATTATGGAGGACACTATCTTTGCCTCAAATACATACATTAAAAAGGTGTTTCTATTTATTTTCACCTTTATATTTCATTATAATGGTGCACAATCCTGAGGTCTTACGCGAAAGTATTTGTTGCTTTTGCAGATGGATGTAAGGAAATGCACTTCAGGTTTGGAGTTGATGGCTATGCCTTGGCCAATCACACTTTCTTGACCGACAAAGCTTTGGACGATGATCACTGTCAATCTAAGTGCTTCATGGATGATCGCTGTATTTCATATAACTTTGGAAGAGGCGCGTCTTGGGAACTCCAAACATGCGAACTGAATGAAGCTGATCACAAACAGTTTCCAGAAGATCTAGTACCGAGACCTGACACTACGTACAATATGGCAGAGGTAACATATCTATGGCCCCGTCCACACGTATCCGGTTTTGTATCCGCAATTTTTTTTTTTTTTTTTTTTTTTTTTTTKYGGATACGAAAATATTTGCGTCCACACGCAGCGTAATCAAATCGTTTTCACCGTCCACACGTATCCGTTTTCGTAAAATTTGCGGATACGGACACAAAACTTTCCGGACACGTGTGGACGCAACCCGTATCCGTAAAAAAAAATTGCGGATACAAAAATTTGCGGAAACGTGTGGACGGGGCCTATATAGCTAGGCATGAGAGAAGTGCTGAGGACACCAGTCGTCTTTAATCACAATTTAGGCCCCGTCCACGCGTGTCCGAAAAATTTCGTATCCGTATCCGGAAATTTTCGAATACGCTCCGAATACGTATACGTGTTCGAATACGCTGACGTCACGCCATCGGATCTAGTCTTCCTCAAGTGATATAAACAAACATGGCGTATTCCAAAGTTGTAGCTTCGCTTTTCGTTGTGCTTATTTCGAGCATGATTTTATGCGTCCATTTGAATGCAGCTGTGATAAATTTGCAATCTCAGTATATGTGAGCTATTTGCTCCGCCTTGTAGTCTTTAGTCACGCTCAAGATCTTGAGGAGCTACACTTCGTCGTCCGTCCATTTAAACGTTTCATCGTGCTTTTTTTTTTTTTTTTTTTTTTTTTTTTTTTTTTTTTTCTTTTTTTTCGCTTTTTTCAGTTGTTTTGGACATTTTTCCCTGCATTTTTGAAAAGTTTCAAAGATTCTCACATGCCAAAACACGATTTTGCGCATGCTCAATTTAAAAAACTATCCGTCAAAGGGACTAGGCACTAGCGGGCATCAGGGCGGATCAAGAAATTTCCGGATACGTGTGGACAGTGAAAACGATTCGAAAACGATTCGAATACAAATATTTCGGATACAAAAATTTCCGGATACGTGTGGACGGGGCCTCAGTTAATTTGATAGCGCAACCGTACAATTGTTACGTAAAGTCTAACTAGGGTCTTAAATCATTTAGGCTAAGCCTTGAGGACCATCTTTGTCATTTGATAACATTTTCACTAGGCAGCTGTTCTCTAACGGTCATTGTTACGTACGTATGTTACCGTATCTTCACCCTTCACTACGCGCTGTAACTGACTCTTCAGTCATGCACAAAGAGAGAGAGAGAGAGAGAGAGAGAGAAAACTTGTTGCCACTATGATGTAACGGTATGCCGTACTTGTCGTGCCTGCTGTAAACCACGTGTTTGATACTAATTAGAATATCATAAAAATACATGTTTTCGCTGTAGAAGGCGAACAGAACATAAACTAATACTAATCTTTATCGTCTTTTCTTTTGCACAAGAGACCTGGTCGAATTTCACAACCAGGTGTTTCTTGATAATAAGATTCTTTGTTTAAGTTGTAAATGCATGTGTCTTCTCAAGCGCAACCTTTAAGCAAAGAAATCTAATACTCTAGGGAATGACATAGGAAAGGATTTTCCCTCACCAAAATGTCCTAATCTGATATTTCCATTCTTGTTTTCAACTTTTAGAACACATGTAATTGCACAGCGAATGAGATTTGTCGCATGAATTTCGTCAACATGACTCATTATTGTGAACGAAAACCTGGAAAATACGAAAAAAGTAAGTTGAATTGCTATTACCTAAAACATTTTGATTTTTCCTAAAGCCTGATCCTCATTAGCTACATGCTTGTGCTTATGCTTATGTCACTGAATTTCCAAGTGACGACGTACACTCTTGTGCAATTGTGCTAATGGTGCTGGTGCTGGTGCTGGTGCTGGTGCTGGTGCTGGTGCTGGTGCTGGTGCTGGTGCTGGTGCTGGTGCTGGTCGTTTTCATATGAATATTTAAAACGTTCTTTACTATTATATCAAGGTATTACGTTTAAAAACTGCAAAAGTCTCCAAAACCTTGGTGAAGAAATAATTCTGGATGGAAGTAATCCAGTTCAAACTGGCATCTGCAGATCAGTGTTGACGACAACTGTTGACTCCCCTGTCAGGCCATACCGTGTGATAGTAGAGATGTACAGCTATAATGTTGGTAACAGCAGAGTAATGCATCCTGGGATAATATTTAATGTTCAAGATGAAGACAACTTTGACTTCCTTTTTACCAGGTGATGTTTAATCTTTTAAAAACAATGTTTAAAGGTTTCAAGGATTTGTGAGTTAGCCATGCCCTGACTGATCAACCCATGCCCTGATGAATTACATCAACCCAGAGGTTGTTTCAGGGCTGGATCTGTGATTTAGCAATGCCTTGACTTAGATAAGCCCAGAGGTTGTTTAAGGGTTCTATCTATGAGATAGCCATGCCCAGCCAATCGGAATTGAGCGTATCAGGTTTTACAAAGAGAGGAAAACCCGAGTAACCCGGAGAAAAATCTCGAATCAACCAGGTGATCTGAGGGAAAAAATTAGCCAATCAGGTTGCGAATTACCTTTCGAAAAAATAATTAATCCCATGCGTCTTTGTGCGACCAATTACTGAAAAACAGAAGGAAAATCAAATGAAAACAAAAGAATCGAAAACAGAAAAATGGGTTTAAGGCTTTAAAATGTTTCTACTACTTTAAAAAATATTCTTTAGATTAAACTAGGGATTTACCTTCATCGGTAAAGTTGTCGTTCATGAACCTTTATTACTGTAAAGACCGTTTAATACAATCTCGAAGAAAAAGAGCTAACTTTTGCGATTCCTTGATAAGACGTTTGACTACATATTCCACGTCTTTCGCTGCTCTTCGGTCCTTGCCAATCTCCAAGATGTTTTGAATTCTTAGTAAAAGAATTAAACAAAAGAAAATGAACTAAGAGAAGGAATCCCCGTGCCCAATCATGAGCAATTTTTGATGCTATTTTTAGAATTTTTGATGCTATTTTTAGAATCTTTGATGCTATTTTTAGAATCTTTGATGCTATTTTTAGAATCACTTTTGTCATCGTTTGTTTTTCTCCACGCGCATAGTGTACGCGCTCTACGCTCTTTCTCTCATGTTTTCTTGTGTTTTAAAAAAACGCGAGCACACATCGGAGAGCGTGTGTACTATGCGCGTGGAGAAAAACAAACGATGGCAAAACTGATTCTAAAAATAGCACCAAACGGTGTCTATGATGTTTACAAGCATGATTACCAGAAATTCCTTTGCTTAGTTCAATTTCTCTTGCCCTAAATCTGTTATTGAGAGTGTATCGGTCAGCCTAACAACAACAACAAAATTATTAGCCAGAACTGAGTCGCATATATATAGTTTTTCAAGATGGCTGCTACAGAACTCATTGAACGCGCAGTGGTTGATGGGATTGATTATTTTTTCGATCAGTAAATCATGCATGCGAATGTGCCCCTGGTCAGATCACCTGGAAGGGAGAGACCCCACAACACTGCTAGCTTTTGATGCGGAGTCCAGGAATCGAATCTGAGACCCCAAAAGTGAAAGGCGAGTGTAATACAAGATACGCTCTCTTGCTGCCGGACCTAAAACCAGGTTTTATTACCTGGCCTCATGTATCACCAGAAATCATATGCTCACCAAGAAATGCCGCAACTCAAGCTGGACGTATGCAAGCACAGGTAATTATTCCCATCCCCAACGTTTGCTCAAACTACGTACCTCCATCCAACAAGTGGTTCAAGATGGAGGTCCAAGTTCACCCAGGATCGGTGACGATTTTCCTAGATGATGAGTACGCTACGAATTACACTGGGATGGCAAGCACTTTGATTAAAAGGGGTGGATTAATGGTGTACAACAAGTACTCCACAGTAGTGAAATTCCGAAATTACACAATTGAAAATCTTTAAACTGGAATAAGAATGATGTTGTTGATGTTACACATGTGGTAGTGGTAGTGGTAGTGGTAGTGGTAGTGTCCTTATGACCTTCCTTGGTCCTAGGTCTGTGAGGTCTGCTGGTCATAGATGTGTATTGTTATGAAGCAAAATTTAATCTTTGTATTATTTCAACAACAATGCAATATGTTGGTTCATTTTTAGACAAATTCATAACTTTGTTATAAATATAATTGATAGATAGTTTATTATCCTACAAATGGTTATGGGCTATCGATATCAGATGGATAATCGATTGTCAATAATATTTACCATTCCTAGCCACAAATTAAACCAACACTACTATCTGTTTTAATCAAAACCTAGCCCCACGTAGTGACCTTATTTAACCACAAAATGTAAATAGGATATCAGATTTAGCTATATATAGACGAACCTAGACAGCTCTTACACACGCCTGCATCGACTTAACTTTGGAGTTAGAAGGCCGAGTCTAAGGCTGTAGCTGTAGTTAAACTGGAAAGCATGGACCTAAGTAAAGACGAGTTGCCTTGTAAGGAAATCCTTCTAAAACCACACCTACTAAGGGAACGTCTTTCTAGTCAGCTTCGGTGCACCTTGGGCTCGTAGCAAACCTCTCATATTGGTAAAGTTAACTATAGTCTCCTAAAGGTGAAGTCGAAGCTATTTCAGCCCAATTCAGTATTTGTTCATCGGCTTGTGATGCTTTTTCCTTTACCTTGTCTGTGTTGATTCAGCTGGTGACTTCAAATGTCGGTCGACGGGTGTGGTCCCGTAAGATAGGAGCGGAAGGTAGAGATCTTTTCTTTCCTCTTCGCATTTCTTGAGCATGTTCTTGAAAATGTTGTACTATGCACTCCGCATATCAGTTTGACTGTTGGTAAAGAGGAAAACTTGTTGCCTACTCTATCCCAAAAAGTGTTCATGAGATAACTTTTCAAATTCTTGTGAACTATACTGAGGACCATCACGGGTTAATATCTAGTTGTCGTGTTATCCCGTGTTCAGCAAAGATGCTTTTCAAGTAAGCTTGCTGATGATGGGAGACTTTCTGTACTGTTCGGCTTCTAGGAGTTATTGATGATCTTTATGCTAGAACAAATCTGAGCTGAGCTTTTGCCATGGGTAGTTGGCGGTTGTGGTTGCAAAATTGGCTGTTTCTAGTTGGGTTATTTCTTTCGTGATGCCTGGCCAGAAGACAAATGTACGAGCTAGTCTCAGTAGGCACGGTTTTTGTCCTTGTAAATTGGTGAACGGTTTTGGAATTTCTAGGTCTGAGAGAGCTGGGAGATGGATCTTTCTCCTTTTAGCACAAGACCTCGGCCTCCAATTATCAATTCTTCCAGACAGTTCCAGTACTCATGGAGGGATTTAGTCCAGTCCTCTCTTCTACCTAGCCAAACTTTGTAGATTGTGTTTCTTAACTTTGACAATACGGGATCGTTGTCAGTCTCGTTGCGGATCTTCTGAATTTGCACGAATTTGCTACGAGTCAATAGCCCATGTGGCAGAATAGGCCATGAGGGCGAGAGGACTAATTGTTTTAGTCAAATCCAACTAGTGGGTCAAATATGCAAACAAGTCTCGAATTAAAGTTAAATTCAATTTGTTGGCTTTCAAAGAAGTCACTTTTTGCTGCCAGTAGGCTATAGCTTATAGCCTACTAGTAGCTCATCCAATCAGAATGCAGCATTGATTACGGACCGCTAGCTGAATTTGACTAATTGTTAAATATTTATTTTCAATTAATATTTTCTGACATTTCAGTTCAATATTATTAAGGGGTGAATATAGTACAATACATTGTTTTTCTACCTTTTTTCGAGGGTATTTTTCAAAATACTGTTACTTACACTTCGAAACAAGCATGCCATGCATGTACATGCACCGGCACTATGATCTATAGGGATTTAATTGACTAGGCAGTAAAAGTTTTTGTTGTTTCTCCGGTAATAATTTATTTTGAATTGATTACATAATCAAGATCATATAGGTGAGGGGAGGGGGTGGGGTGGTCAATTGCCCTATTTTATTATGACGTCACATCAAAACAAACTATCATGGTCACTGGAAGGGGATGGAATGACAACAACCCATCTTAAATCACAAAATCGCATCACAAGACTAAAATCGCATCACAATAACCGGGTCGATCAGACAGAGAAGATTTAATGTTTATACTGTAATAATAGTACGGAATTTCGGGTCATAATGTCTCGCCTTACGTATACGATCAAGACAATGCGTATACTACTTTTGGTCCAACTAGCTCTCCCAACATAAGTTTCACCAAGAGAATATTCTCCATCTAATTCTAATTCTCCCAAAGTTTTTTTCTATATATTTGATGGTTTGTCTTTTCCTGAGGTCATCATTATGTAATATCTCAACAGCAGCAACGAAAAGAGATGTATGACCTATAACATTATGACGTCACAGCTTGTTTACATGGGCAAGAATGATAGGAACTTAGCCGAAATTTTCTTTCGTTCGGGATATTTAGTRCAACATTTATCTGTTATCACCTTTCCACGTCTAGTTAACCATTTTTTATTGTGATTTAATTCGCTTTGCTGCTACTTTGCCCCCTCTGGCGACCATGATCCTTAGCGTTAAAACAATAGATTGTTTTGATGTGACGTCATAGTGTCATAGGGCAAAGAAGGCGGCTGGTATTCAACATCTTTGCACCAAATATGAAAAAAAAAACCGAATTTTTCAACGTAACAAAAGCCATTCTCGTCCTAGACCCTGATACAACTAGTTGAAAGCAATGCAAGAAAACGAAAAATTGAATAAAAAAAATAATAAAGAATTTATCGTTTGCCGTTTCTTTCACAACTAAAATAATAATAATTGCTGATAAATGGTAGTAAAAAATGTAACTCAAGGACGGTGTACGAAAATCAAAATAATAAAAATAGCAATCAATTATTGTTGAAGAAACGACATGAAACCCGCGTTGAATAATTAAAATAAATATTTGTGGTTACTATGTATTTATGATTTAATCAATCAATATTGGAAGAGCGAGTGAGCTACATGTAATAATTATTTTCTACAGAAGGTACACCTACTTGCAAGAACGTTGTCATACGAAAATAGAACATTAGTGATTTAGTGGGATAGGAATTTTAATATATTAAAAAACAAAAGAAGATCACTGAAGCTGAACTTTTTCTTTTGTCTTTTAATGTATTTCTTTCTAACTAAATTACTAATGTTCTAATATCGTATGACAACGTTCTTGTAAGTAGAGTGACCACACTCTAGTCTAGGTGTATGAACAGATTGAAAAACTATCTTTCTGCAATGACCATCTATTTTGAAAAATAAATAAGTAAAAAACAAAAACGAAAACAAAAATCACTTTCCAACTTAGCCAATATTCTGGTTGAGCGATCAACACACAAACACACAGCAATCCGGGGGATTGTTTCGTCCCTAGCCAGTAGTAGTCAGAATATTGAAAGTTGGTCATATTTGACAGTGAGTACTTTATTAGCCAACTCATTGATATGCAAATTCAATCTGCTGGTAGTTCGACTGCAGTGATTTCCAGTTCCCGGAAGATTGCGAAGCTGTACTGTCATTAGCACGGTAAGTCCAGTGTTAGAGATTCAATATAATGATAATACAATAAGTATTATTGATATATTTGCTATAAATATGATATAATAGTGCTTAAACATTTCATTTTGGAGTCGGTATTCATAAAAATATGTGGATTGTTTTTTTCACCTGAGTGTCACGGAAATTGCGAAACTCAAAAGTTGAATCGCATTGAGAGTAATAGGTTTATTTACAAATATTAGCCGATTGAAACCTAATATTTATAGCTTTATCTAGCTATATTCGCTAAATATACGTCCTAGAGAGCTTTAGATATTTAAATACGGTGATTAAACGATGGAATTCATAGGAATGTTATGATTGTTTTAGCATATGAGGTGAGTTTGTCACAGCTTCCTGTGTATTGCAGATGATGAAAAAAAATTTTCTTCAGTCGTTGCTTGTACCTTGCTCAGTCTTCTGGCGGCACAACTTCAGAATACCCGGCCTAAGGATATACACACATTAATCCTTTATCGTTCTTCTATTGTTATTGCATCGTTTTCAAAATAACTTGCTTTAAACTAAGACAAATGGACAAGGTTTTCTGAAGTTGCTCCGCAACCAATATATCGAGCACATCACGCTAGGAAATCGCAAAAAATTCACACTTTTTTCCCTCGAACTGCAATAAAAATGCAACATATCAAAGGAATGATAATTTCTCTATTACTAAATGTATTCAGAATGCCATTATAATATAAATATATCTAGAAAAATTCTAGCTTGAAGTCGAAAGTTTTATTTCTTCCGGCCGTTGTAAAGCGTGAGCGTTCATGTTACGTACTGCATTCTCATTGGCCGAACGTGATACAAAACTCGAGACAAATCCCCCTTCCTGGAGGGAGTTAGGTTTGCTTTGATACGACAAAAAAAAACGCCTTTGGATACGAATTCCGCTTTCGTTATTCCGACTCAAGTCTGACCACTAGCCTTATACACAGACGTTCTTAGGGGCTGTCACGCAACGTTTGCTTAGAAGGCTACCTGACAACAGGGAAGCCAAATTTCCGATGCCGTCGTGACCGCATACTTATAAAAAGACGAATGACATTTTCCCGGGGGGTGGGGAACTTCCCTATATTTGCTATACGGGTATGTGCCGCCCTATAGGGTATGGTTTTTCGGCTTTTTGGTCTGGGGTAGGGTATCATTTTTTGACATTTTGTCTGGGATAGGGTGTCCTTTTTGTCTGGGATAGGGTTACGATTTGGTCGTCTTAGTCTGGCCTGGGATAGGCTTTAACGATTTGGTCGTTTTTGTCTGGCGAATAGACTACGCTTTCTGACGGCACAAAAACAATAAAAACATTAGCAAATATTGATTGAAATCTATTGACTAACCGGGCTTAGTCTGTTATAGGGTGTACAATTCTTAGTATTAGTCTGGGTAGGGTATGTAAAATCAAAATTTTAGGTCTGGGATAGGGTCAGGGTTTTGAGCAATCTCGTACCTTCTATCTCGTATCTCGGGTATGCGAAAGATTGATTATCGTACCACATTCTAGCAAATTTTGAGTTTGATCCAAGCCAATTTAGTGCTTGAAAAATCCACTTATTTCCTCATATTTTCGAGTTTGTCAGCCATTTTATTTCCGGAAGACTCTTTCTATTGTTTCCCCCCGGACCAATAGGAATGCTCAAAAAATCGGTTACAACCAGAGCCTCTCGTTTCTCGGTACTGACCAAGAGGAACGTGGGCTCTGGGTACGAGATTGGGTTTTGAGGTCCTGGCGGCACACCCCTACCCAAGTTGGGGAGGTAGTACCCCCCCCCCCCCCGGGATATTTTGCAGTCCAAAAATTTAAAAATTTAAAAATTTCTCTTTGCATTTTGGTTTTCTTCTTACAGCAATACCACTTCACTTTCAGGTATCTGTAGCTTAAAACAGCTCCAACATGATATTAGAATTGCTCGTTGCATTGTTGGCTTTGCTGGTGACATATATGATCTACAGCCACTACACAAGTCCCAAAGGCCTGCCTCCTGCCCTAAAGCCACTACCATTGATTGGAAACCTTATTGATGTCGCAAGATGGGTTTCACAGAAAAATTTACAAATTCACCTGACCAAAGCCTCAAAGGAGTATGGTAAGATATTCACCCTCGAGGTTCCTGGTCAGCGGATGGTCGTGATAAACTCCGCCTCAATTGCACGTAAAGCTTTACTTGACAAAAAGGACGACTTTTCTGGAAGGCCTTACTACTTTACTATGGACTATCTGACGCGTGGGTCCAAGGATATAGGGGCATCAGACTTCAATCCTACCTGGGTCATACAACGAAAGCTTTTGCATTCCGCCATGAGAATGTACAACCCTATTCTGGAAGACCAAGTGTGCAGGGAGTTTGAAGAGTTATCCAAGAGGCTGACAGCAAGCCAAGGAAAACCCATCGACCCTTCGAATGACATACTGCTGACCACAATGAACGTCATTTGCGCCATGGTTTATGGTGAGCACTACCAGATTGATGATCCGGAATTTCTCATGATCGTTGATTACAACCAAAAGATGTTTCCATTGCTTGGTGTACTTAATATTCTGAATCTCTTCCCATTCATGATTCACTTCCCGATCAAAGACTCCAAACAGATCAAGTACGTCCGTGACACGAGGGATCGACTTTTGAACGAAAAGTTTCGACAACACAAGGAGACGTACCAAGATGGCGTTATTCGTGACTTGACTGATGCGCTGATCAAAACTTTGCAGGAAGCAGAGAAAGAAAATAGCAAGATCCATGACATTATCACTGAGGACCATGTTGTCATGACAATGGCGGACGCTTTCTCCGTTGGATTCGAGACGACGGCCACTACTATTTTGTGGTTCCTGGTCTACATGGCCAATTATCCAAATGTCCAGGCAAAAGTACAGGCAGAGATCGACCAAATTGTTGGCCGTGATGCCTTACCGCAATGGAACGACCGGAACAGACTCCACTACACAGAGGCGACCATTTCTGAGACGCTTCGATTATCTTCCGTTGCAGCACTGTCCGTTCCACACAAGGCCATGAAAGATTCAACTCTAGAAGGCTACAATATCCCCAAGGGAACGACCCTACTGTTCAACAATTGGGCCATGCATTATGACGAAGACGAATGGCAGAATGCACGGGTATTTGATCCAACAAGGTTTCTGGATGAAGATGGCAAGTTTGTTCATGTTGCTGGCGAGAAGAGCTTCCTTCCCTTCGGCGCAGGCCGTCGGGTATGCGTTGGAGAAGCATTAGCCAAGCAAGAGCTGTTTGTTATCATTTCAAGGCTGTTGTATCAGTTCAACATCGAGTTATGCCCTGGATCACCGCCACTGGAAATGGTGGGTGAACTCGGCCTCGTTCATTCACCCAAACCCTACAAGATTTGCTTCAAGAAAAGATCTTAAACCAGCTATTCGTGAGATGGTTTTCAAAACGTAGTCTCAACATAGAAGGCTAGAAGTATCGACAATACACTTGTATTGAAGGAACGGATTCGTATGCATTTGCTGTTATAAGACGTTCCACATCTCAGTAAAGTTTTGTACGTTAATTTAGATCAAGATGATTTATTTCAGTTAATAAACCGCTCGTTGAATCAATTGTGCTGTGATTGGTTGGTTGGTTTATTCTGGGATTGGCTGTTTCGTTGTTGCTACTCTGCCCAGAGTGTTTTTTAATTGTCGATATCCATGCAATAACCATCCTTCAGGGATTTCTATACCACTGCCCTATTGATGTTATTAGGGTGGAGTTGGATCTGAATCGCTTCCTGGACTCTGCGTGTATACCAATGGGATTCTTGATATATACATTCAACACCCTCCCAGCTAGGACAATGCCCGGTCTTGGGGTATGTTCGGCTACTGCTGAGCTCTCCAAGTGGATAAAGCCTTACGTTTTCGATATCGTGTGCTCTTTCACTCTTTCTTAAACTGGTCTTCCAGCTAGGGTTTTTCGACATATAGCAAGGCATCGATCATAACAAAGTTGTTGCTGGAAGAGTGGCCATATTGAATTTCTTTGATGCCGAGTGTTTCGCCTCGTTTGTAGGCATTTTTGGGCGCCTGATTCCTAGCGGTTAGTGGTAAGCAGTTTGCAATAAACATGATGCTAAAGGTCTCTCTATTGAAACCATTGCTCCACTTCTGTGAGAAGCGGACTATAGTTTATCTTAACCGTAAAAATATGCCTAAATTCCCAATGAAATTATTACGAAATAGTTTCCATATTTACATACTTTTTTATTCCCAATTTCTTTAGGTTAATATTTCATTTGATAGCGCATTTCATTGCATTTTACCTAACGGCTTTCTTTGTCCGCCGTGTGTCTATTCAACAGTTAAATACACAGTTTCAGTTGCCAGAAATTGTTCTAGACCGTATATACAATTGTCATAATATAGTTTTGTCACTATTTTAATATTCTACATGTTTTCATGAATAACTCATGATATCTCTCGGGTCCTCTGTGCTGTGCATTACATTTTCACATTTGACATGAAGTTTCTGTACAGCAGATCTATAAACAAAAATATCAAGAAAACAGTTAACACTAGTTGAATGAATGAACCTTGAAATCTTGCCTAACTTTCACAACAGTCCAAAAAAACCCCGCAAGATTGGCGTCACTCTTGCCCAAATTTGACTTTTCCAAAGTCTAATGGCCGGTTTACACGGTACGATTTATCGCCCAACCGTCGCGCGCAACATGCTGTCGACACAAATTGCTTCGTGTAAACCTGGTGTAAGCAACCGCACGACCGGCTTTCGACTGTAAATGGCAGCTAACACTTGGCGTAGTCATGTTGCGCGAAACAGTGCAATTTGGCCTTTAGCAACCGCATAAAATGCTAAGGATTGCGAAGCTGCCCAACATAAGTTTTAAGAAAATAAAAACAGCCATTGATTTTATATATTATAAGCAACAAGCATTAGAAACGTTTTCGAAACGTGATTGGTTAAATCCTTAAATAATGATACGGTTGCCTTGGAACTGACAAAGTGTTTCTCGCGAGTGTCAATCAAGATTAAATCATTACTTACTTTGTGACATTTTTGCAGTAGAGCAAGGTCAGAGAATTCAGTTTTCTACATCCTTTCCTGAGATATCGTAGAGCTTTATCCCTGATATGAGATACAAAGATAGGTTAATAGTTAATAGTTTTATCGAGAGAAAAACTTCCCTCAAACACCACAAACAACTCATCGTACACCTAGAAGTAAAGCGACAACGCTAGTAAAACCTTTAGGACCACAGGTAGCCCAGTTTTGCCTGCTTTCTATGCACTAAACGTAGAACAAAAAAATATGGTAAAATTCAATGAAAAGCGAATTTAAAAATTCCCAGGGTCCTCCAGAATCTCCACATGTTCGACGAAATGCTAGAGAACATGAGTAGTACGAATGATAGAACCATGGGGTTTGCCAAACAAACATAGCCTGCGTTCAGTCGGTATAATTTCTCTCGAAATAATCTCGAGAGAAATTATACCGGATGAACGCAGGCTAAACTAACATCTATTGCGGTACCTGTGGTAAGGCGCAGTCTCTCTGTCTCTTGGCAGTATATTGTTTTAAGTTTTCTGTCAATCGAAGCGCGCGCATCTAAACATTAATTCTAATAGACATTATTCGTGGTGTGACAGAACTTCCAGGGGATTCATTTTCTTTTGTTTTTACTCTTCGAAAAATTCATAAGTATCCCAAAGGATACGAAAGGAATAACGATGATATCCCGACGCGTTTCAAAACAATAGCTCTTCATTCCCCCAGAGGTTTGTCACGTTGAATTGGGAAAACATTGTCACACCACGAATAAGGTCTATTAATTATTAAAATAACTTACGAGACGCGAACACATCCAGACAGATCAAGGCTTTCGAGGTAATGACAAACACCAGATAAATACTGAAGACTAGAATCCGTCAACTGAAAACATCAGCAAAAACAGATAAATTGAAGATGAACTAGAACAAAGTATCTAGTTAAAATTACTTTTAAAATATTTAATAATTTAATGGAAATTATTGATCTGACTGTTATCACAACTTCCATCCATATCCATTCTTGACCATTCATCCACGATTCATTACCATCATGTCTACAAGTACCCAACCCTCACTCATTTGTGTCAGCTGCGCCTCCCATACACGACTTCAAAACATTAAAAATATTTTAATGTCTAAATAAGGCTGCGTTCATAATGTATGGCAGAGGCGGGGGCAGGTGAAATTGAGGGGGGATCGGGAAAATTTTGGTAGGAAAAAGGGGGATGGGCAAATTTTTATCAGAAAAATGGGGTGATGCACAATTGTTGGAAGAAGCTACAAGCCTTGCTTAGGGGGGATCGTATTTTTTTGCATGACTTTAAGAGGGGTGTTAAGAATTATTGTGGACATTTCAAATTTTCACCTGCCGCCCCCCCTCTCTGCCATGCATTWTGAACGCAGCCTAAACTCTGCGTGTAGAAATCATGACCTTACCAGAGTACAGCCTGCGATGTTGAGGGTCCTCAGCAGACGACAGCAGAAGGCCAGATTCTTGATAGCGTTGTCTGTGATGCGCTGCACAAGTAAGTAGTAATGGCAATGGTTTTAGAAAACACTAGTCATACAAACAAATGAACAAACAGGGCAGAAAAACAGACAGATAAGCAGGCAAGGGAGGAAAAAAAACACGAAGTCAATCAAATAAAGAAACTAGACGCATATCTGCGTGAACTCGGGCTTCATAGCAGAAAATCGAAAGAATTCTTCGTGAACATTGTCCCTTTAGATGGTGCAAAGTCTGTGCAAAATCACGCGTGCTAAAAATGTTGAGGGTGTGAGACTCCATATTATTCATTACTTGAAACAGCGACGAGTCCTTCCCCATATCCGCCATTACTCAAGCATATGCTCATGGCTGATTCTACGCATGCGCATAGACTTTGATTTGATGCATGCGCCTTAGGGCTTTGAGGGCGATTTGTGACTGAAGAAAAAAATAACGAAGCCCAATTTATACCTCGGGCATTTCTTCCAAAAAGCCCGAGTAATGAATAACCAAACAGATAGATGGACAGACAGACAGACAAACATGCATACATACATACATATAAAGAATCGGTTAATAAAGTCAATAGGCACGGGCGTTCTGTTTACATTTCCAAAAATCAACTTTTGAGCCATAAGCGATTAGATTTAAGTCATAACTGTTGATAATAATTATCAATTTGAGAGCAGTTGCTTCATTAGATCAGGAAATATAATAAATTAAAGTTGCTAAATTTGACAGTAAATGTAGGTTGGTTGGCAAAATCTTGCCAACCAACATACATTTACTGTCAAATTTCACAACATTAACTTGAAAACCATCAAGAGATTTGTCCTCAAATTCTCAGATATCTTCCAAAGCGATAGGATCTTGTCACTTTTGACGTTTGTTTGTTTATTGCTTGAATTTCCAAGAATTTCATGTTCTTGATCAAAACAAATGGCGTCATCGTACGCACACCTATTCAGAGTACAAACCATATATCCGTGAAATAGCWCACACACAAAAATCGCACAAAAACTAAATAGCACTAAAACACATTTTATTTCTTTTGTTTTGCCATTTTGTACAAATTAGTTAGCACTATTTYAACGATATATGTTTGCACTCTATAAAACAAAAACACTTTCAACATACATTACAGTGTGAAATGTCGAAGTTCTCCAGCATCCGACACTGTTGGCACATTTTCTGAGAACAAAACATAGCAGCAAGGTTAGGTTTAACACTAGTATTTTAATTCTTGCAGAATCATTTGTATAGCAAATCGCACGATCTTCTCGTACAATTTGGAAAGGCGTGTGCAATTAAAGAACTTTCAAAACATTACGAGTGTCTATTAATTCCAATTTGTACGAGAAGATCGTGCGATTTTTTGTTTACAGTTCARTAAAAAATGCGAAGCGACGCCGTTTATCTTTGTCTATTTGGCAGCCGATTTTCAGTCCATCGCGCAACTGAAATAAATAAAAAAAGATTAGTTCTCTTTATTTATATGTTTTTTAAGTACAAAATGATAGAAAATAATTGTTTTGGCATTGTTTTGGCCGTGTTGCTATAGCGACTTAATTCGGTACTCCTATACGGAGTACAATTAACGCTATAATTGTACTCCTCTCGACCAATCAGAGTCGAGTAATTTTGTTGAGTGTACTATAAGATAGATTAACACTTGAACAGAAAGCGATACTGTATGTTTCAAGGACTGCTATTCAGCATATTTCTGAAAACGTTCAACAGACACCCAGCGTTGAGCATTTCAAGAAGCACGAGAGTGAAAAGAACCTTGACCAATCGAATTGGGTCTCTRCCCGAGGCCTACACTGCTGTTGCCATGGAAATGGCTTAAAACAAGAGTACTAACCTGCAATCCTAGGTCAGTAATATTACTGCACTCTGATAAGATAATATCACGAAACTGTGGGTTATTCCCCAAAGCTGCCACACCTTGGTCTTGAATATTACAACCTGACAAATCGAGAGATATGAGGGACGGGAGGGTGCCGAGTAATTCCACTCCTGCATCGGTCACGTGCTCACAATAACAGAAGCTTGCGTAAACCAGTGCATGGCATCTAAAAATAAAAGAAAGCCACATATTATGATAATAACTCTTAGCCGATATTAGCAGCATTTGAAATTCAGGCCTCGCAAAAACTTGCACAGGCGAAATACGGTACCTTCGCTACCAATCAAGCAATCACGGTACTTTTCGCTAYCATGTTGAAGTCCGTTCGCAACCAAGGTAATTACCAAAGTTTATGGTAGATAAAGTACCGGGTACTGATTTTTAACATTTCAATTCTCATAATACTATCGCAATAAGCAATCCAGCGCACCTTTGAGCAATTCTTAGTAGCGTGACGTCACTAACACGAACACAGTTTGTTAGATTGAGTTCCTTGATCTTGGATCCGGAMGGTCCTTCCACTATTTGACGTACACCAGTGTCTTGTACTCTGTAGAAGAACGGTAATATGATATATATTTATACATAAAATCAACTTAATAAGCTTATTGTTATTACAAAACGTTTTTATTCATAAACTAATAGCTTAAATACACTTGGTAGCGATATTTTCACATGTAAAAATAACATGTTATTTTCACATGTGAAAATATCAGTTTTTCGTAAAGGAGAAATAGAGGATATTACATGGGCGCGCGGAGATACAAAATTTATCTTCGAGTGTTGAAAAGATCTCTCACGAGTGAGCGCAGCAAACGAGTGAGAGATTTTCAACACGAGAAGAAAATTTTCCAAGCGCCCATGTAATATTCTGTTTATTATATAATTATCCATAAAATCAACTCAACAAGCTTTTTATTATTATAAAAAGTTTTTATTTATAAACTAATAGCTTAAATACACATGGAAACGATATTTTCACATGTCAAAATAACAGTGTTATTTTCACATGT